GAGCTGGGGCTTCACCCAGAGAAGAGAAGGCTCCAGGGAGACCTGAGAGCCCCTTCCAGGGCCTAAAGGGACTCCAGGAGAGCTGGAGAGGGACTGGGGACAAGGGATGGAGGGACAGGACAAGGGGAATGACTTCAAACTGCCAGAGGGCAGGGTTAGATGGGATGCTGGGATGGAATTCTTGGCTGTGAGGGTGATGAGGCCCTGGCACAGGTTGCCCAGAGAAGCTGTGGCTGCCCCTGGATCCCTGGAAGTGTCCAAGGCCAGGTTGGATGGGGCTTGGAGCAACCTGGTCCAGTGGAAGATTGCATGACAGGGCTGGAACCGGATGATCTTTCAGACCATTCTGTGGTTCCTTGACTTTAAAAAACAACATCAAAAGGAGAAGAGTTCAAAATGAGCCCCTCTGATGACACATCAAGGTTTGGCCTCATTACTGTGTTCAGGGTTTATAATATCCTGTGGACTCCTCACGGAAGCAGGACGTGGTCCAGTCTCTGCTCTACAGCTCATCCATGGGGTGGGAAAGGGTGTCCAAGTGTCACAGAGGCCTAAACACAGGAGGGACCCTGAGGAGACATGGGCTCTTCCAGGCTCAGCTCCACATCAGAGCAGCGTCCTCGGCAGGAGAGCAGCTGGAAATGGAGGTGGAACAAGGAAAGGCACGGCTGCTTCTCACCAGCTGTGCCCTCGCACCAGGACCAGGGGTTTTTCCCTCCACTGGAACAGGCTCCCCAGGGCAGTGGTCACAGCCTCAAACCTGCCAGAACTTAAGGAGCATTTGGACAACACTGTCAGCACATGGTGAGGTTGTTGGGTGTCCTGTGCAGGGCCAGGGGGTGGACTCGGTGACCCCTGTGGGTCCCTTCAAATAATCCCTCTCTCTGCAACAGGTGTGTGAGGAGCTGGGTACAGGTGCAGCTGAACAAGGTGGCCCAGAACCTTCCCCATCCTCAGATTTGGGAGGCTTCCAGGGACCTTCCTCCACATGAAGGAGATGATTCCCCCTCACACCCAACAGCAAACACCCAGATCTGCAGGAGATGGAGGGACCTTCTCTCGGGGGGGCTGGCTCTCCCTGTGCTCATCCTCTCCCCGTGAAATCAGAAGGTGACACTGGCTGAAGGTGACCTCCACGTGCCACCCGGTCCAGCCTCCCAGAGCCCGGTCCCCCTTGGGCTGAGCTGCTCATCCTTCACCACAGTGAAAGCTTCTCTGTGTGTCCTCACAGGCCCCTCCAGCGATGCCTCTTTCACACCGGGGAGCCCCAGACCAGGCACATCGTCCCCCCGGGGCTGGCGGGGCAGGAGCAGCCCGGTCCCCGCGCGGTTCCTGCCGTGTGCAGTTGGCTTCCTCCGCCACTGGAGCCCACTGCTGCTCCGCGCTGGGCTGCTCCGCGCTCCCCGGCCCGACCCGCACCGCCCGAGGGGCACCCGAGGGGTGCTGACCCCCCGGCCCTCCCAGCAGAGGGGCTGCCACCACCCTCCCCCAGCGCAGAGGTGCCGGGGGGCTCAGCCGACTCCCTCCGAGGGATGCTGCAGCTCCCTCCCCTCCAGCCTCCACGGATGCTCTGGGTGCCTCCCTCGGGTTTGCACAATTTTTCGGTGCTTCCCTCAATTTTGCACGATTTTAGGCAACCCTGTGGCATCATGAGCAGAGTCACCTCCAAACCCACCCACCCCCCCCCCCACTAAACCCTCCGGGGAGCCACGGGCCTCTGGGAGGGTGATGAAGGTGCAAAACCCTAATTAGAAGGGAAATAAAAGGGGGTGCAGGCGGTCCCTGATCAGGGCAGAGTTAATAGGTGGTGCAGCAGCTCCTGAAAGCTTCCCAAACCTGGCTTTGAGCAAAGCAAAGCCTCTGCAGCTCCTGCTTGGGGTTCTCCAGGAGCTGCCCTGTGCAGATGGGATGATAAGGAGAGTTATTGCTGCTCTGTGTTCATAAAAGGATTATTATTAAGGAGGGAAAGAAAGTTTTAAGTGAAGTAAATCGGGACAGGCTCGGTGTTTGAATAGAGAGGAATAATGTTATGGTAATGGCATGCACAGCTCTGCTGCTCACAGACCCTGATGTATTTTATAAAGCCCTGTGCTGGAAAGAACAAATTCTATGAGCTGAGAGCTGGACAAAGAGAAACAAGGAGAATCTGTAAAAATGATGTTTTATTGTGCAGGAGAAAGCAATGAGGAGCAGAGTTGAGATCTAACCCTTGATGTCCTTCTGGAGGAGAAACCTGGCAGCATATTGTCACTTGCTTGTATAATTTAATTTGCTATTCTAAGCCTTACAGTAATTTCTTTCCTGTATTCCAAAAGATTATATCTAAATATCTATTTGCAAATGAAATACAGGGAAGAAATTTTGAAGGCTGGAACTTCAGTACTACATCTCTCCAGAGATGCTTGTGTAGGAGGGAGCTGCTGGCAGCTGCTGGGCTGGAAGGGTCAGAGCACAGGACAAATGTGAGGCCACTGGAGCCCCAGCAGCACCACCAGTTTTATTTGCTTTTAGTTTGACAGCCCGAAGTACCTGAGCAACAAGCACAGCAGTGGGTTCCCAGAAGTGATGGATCTGGGCCACGGCACAACGCGACATAAATCAGACCTTTACGAGTCCCCAGCGGCTGCAAATCAATGAGTGCCAGCAATAATTACCCATTTTATCTCTCTCTTTATTAATATTTAGACTGTTTTAATCTTTTCTTTCTAAACACACTGGTTCCCTGCTGTGCTTGTCCTTTGGTGGGAGCTGCCACAAAAGCTCCCGTTTCTCCCGTTAAAGGTTTTGTCTCGATCCCAGCTGCTCCTGATCCCAAATGGCACAGCCACAAAAGCTGGGTGACAACTCCCCTGCTTCACCCCGGGTGGGTGACACCTGTGTGTGCCCCCAAGAGGTGGGTGCAGCCTGTCTGGGGGCCACAGGGCAGATCCTGTGATGGCTGTAGGGGGTTCTTCAGCTTCAGACACTTGGTGTGGGTGGCCACAACCTACAGACCTTGTTTGAAGAGGTTATGGAATGGTTGGGGTGGGAAGGGACCTTAAAGCCCATCCAGTCCCACCCCCTGCCATGGGCAGGGACACCTTCCACCAGCCCAGGTTGCTCCAAGCCCCGTCCAACCTGGCCTTGGACACTTCCAGGGATCCAGGGGCAGCCACAGCTTCTCTGGGCAACCTGTGCCAGGGCCTCCCCACCCTCACAGAGGGGAATGTCTTAATTAGGAGAAATCCTTGGAAGGTGATTATCTCTTCAGGGGGTGCTAATTAGGGATGTACACATTACAAACTAAGCCCTGTGTTGACATGCAAAGCAGGGTGGGACTCTGATTTTCAATGGAAATGAGAGCTCTTATCTCCTGTAACTCAGGAGTGGGAAAGCTAATAACTGCACCATCACCTCTGGAAAACAAAAAGGAAAAAAAATCAAAACAGAAAATGCCCCCCCTAAAGGTAATATAAATTATGTTTATTGTTGAGACAAAAAGTTTCCAGCAAGTCCAACCACTACCCAGCTTTAAAGTAAGTGAGAAAAGAGCTGGAAATAAGTGAGAAGAGGGATGCTGGAGCATCTGCCATGTCAGAAATACTCCCAGTGCCTGGAGGAACAGGTAAAGCCCCATTTTTTGTCCACCTGTGCACAGAGGGATCTGTGCTGGGGATGCAGCAAAGGGTGGACACGGACCTGGCTTTTGTGGGAAGGGGAGAGCTGGGAACCATATTTTGACTTCTGGGACTGTTCAGCAGCATAAATCCTTGTGGGTGCTCCCAGGGGCTGTGCTGCTTCCCCAGGGAGTGTCTGCTGAGCCCTGCACTGAAGACAGGCCTTGATGTCCAGCTTCCACCTGAGGCCAAAGAGATGCCCTCCAGCAGCAGAAGGGCCCCCAGGGCTCAACAGCTACCACAGTCTGATACCACCAGGAGCCTTCAGGGCTCAGGAGGTTTAACCTCTCTGTCTGCTCCCTCTGTGCCACCTCAACGAGCTCCTTACCCAGGGGGATGGAGTCACATCAACATCCTCCTCCCTGTGGCTGACTGTGCCAACCCCACCATCACTCCCTCCTTGGCTGGGACATGCCTGGCTGCTTCCAACCACCCAAGTCCCCATGCCCTGAGCAGAGCTGCCCTTGGCCCAGGGACAGCAGCCAGAGCTGGGGACAGTGAGGATGATCTCAGTGAGGATGACCCCAGTGAGGATGACCCCAGTGAGGATGACCTCAGTGAGGATGATCTCAGTGAGGATGACCCCAGTGAGGATGATCTCAGTGAGGATGACCCCAGTGAGGATGACCCCAGTGAGGATGACCACAGTGAGGATGATCTCAGTGAGGATGACCTCAGGTCTCCCCATCCCCGTGCACAGAGATGCTGCAGTCTCTGCCCGTCTCCTCTGGTGCCAACACCTCCAGATGTTCAGCCAGTTGTGATGTACCATTATCACCTCTCTTGCCTCTGCTGTGTCACCACTCTTCTCTCACACACCTCCCCTGGGGAAAGGACACATTGTCCCCTGTCACTGGTTCCACCAACATGGGTTGAGGAGTTGCCTCTTCTCTTCTTCTCTGGCTGTTTGTCCCAAGGGCTGAGCCCGCTGCCAGGGGGGAGGATGGTGTTTCAGCCCTCTGACAGAGGAAAAGGGGCTGTGGCACAGAGGAAAAGAGGGGTTGGAGGCTTCTCCGTGACATACAAATGGTGTAATGAGGACACTGTGAATGAGGAAACATCTTTCATCAGGAAAACAATTCCAGATGACGTAACTTCCAGCTCCTGCCAAGGGGCTGAGCAGAGCCCCAGAGCTCCTCAGCTGGGACAAGGACCAAGACAGCTCTCCTGGCCACTCCCAGGCAGTGTGGGACAGGTAACACCAGGGTGAGGAAAGCCAGAACTGATGCTAATGCTGTCCCATGAGGGCTGACCCAGTCCCAGAGCCCGGGCTGGGACCCAGCTCCTACCTGGGGACAGCAGCAACCCCCAGGCTGGACTTCTGGGGGCTGGTGATGGGTCACTGCAGTGACACTGAACCTCCTGGCTGAGCCCTCCTGGGGCCAGACACAGACCTGGGGAGGTACAGCCTCTGCCTGGGAACCGGTGAGTCTCGGGATACACTGACATCCAGTCACTGCTTTCCCAGTGGGACACAGTCTCAGGTGTCCCGGGGCCGTGTCACAGGTACGTGACCTCGATGACGTTGGGCTCAGCGCTCCCGCCGGGAAGGTGGTGCTTGCAGGAGCACTGGCAGCTCCCTCCAGCCAGATCCATGCCAGGCAGATCCCACCTCCTCTGGGGGTCCAGCTGCTTCCAGTGCGTGAGGTGCACCCCGTTGTGCAGGTCCTGCGGCAGGGGCTCGTGGTACAGGGTGATCTGCACGGTGCGGAGCTGGGGCCCGTAGTGCACCACGAGGATGATGAACACGGCCAGGAGCACGAAGACCACCACGATGACCGAGATCATGGGCAGCGCGTCCGCCTTCTTCGTCACGGCCCTGGCGACCGACACGGGAGTGACGGCGGCCACGTCCTGCGGCTCGGGGTGTCTCAGCTGGCTGCCAGGCACGGAGCTGTTCATGGCTCAGCAGGCTGACCTGGCACAGGGAAACCCGGGGGGAACAGGGTGACCCCCGAGCAGAGGCTGTTCCTGTCCCTATCTCCTGCCCTCGAGGCCGCAGCTCCTGCCTGCGCTTGCAGCTGCCAGGGAATGGGATGATCCCATAAGCGCTCCCTCCCTCGGGCTCGTGGGACAGGATCAGTTTTGGTGGCTGTCTCTGGGCTTGTAGGATGGTCCCCTGGACACGTTCAGCCAGGGAGGAAATGCCCTCTGTCCCCGTCACCTGGACACCTCTGGCGTGGGGCTTTTCTTCCCCACTACACCCCCTCCACCCTCCCCTCTTCACCCCCGGCCCCACGGCGCTAATCCAGGACCAAACGGCCCCACGGGGGCCACCCTGGGAGACCCAACCCCGTGAGTCGTCCCTCGCCACGGTGGCAAAATCCCGTGGGAGCCAGCACGGGTGGGAGCAGGGGCAGTGGGGGGAGAGGAGGGAGGGAGAGCCCTCCCAGCCCCTCAGGGGTACCTCGGCTTTCCTGCTGCCTGGGAATCATCGTCTCCAGCGGCGGGGCTGGGAAGCGGACGGCGGGAGCAGCAGGAACAGCTCCGGGATGATCTCCGGTGTAGGTGCAGCCACACTCACCTCGGAAGCTGCCACGTCACTCCTCGGCCCCACACCCCCCCGGGATGCCCGGGGCACACGAGGAAGCGCCTGCTCACCCCGGGGCAGGAGCTGCTCCCATTCCCAGCCCGCTGTCACCTCAGCGCTGCCTCCCCCTCCCCGCTCCCGCCGACCCTCCTCTCACCCCGCGCAGGACAAGGGCCCTTTGTTTGGGGACGAGCGCCCACCCCCCCTTCAGCTGCACTCAGGGCAGGAAACCTCCCCGAAACCACCGGCTCGGCGTGAAAATGTAACGTGGGGAAGAAACAGGGGTAAAAAAAGCCCCTCTGCACGTGAACTCTGCACAGCCCGGGACAGTGAGTGTATCCACACAGGGATCCGGGTGGGAAGGACCCTCGTCCGAGGGAGGGAGCAACCCCAGAGGTGATTTTCTCTGTCCCACTGCTGCGGGAGGAGCACTCTCAGCACGGCTGTGGCCAGAGGTGGGAGTCCCTGTGGAAGCTCTGCACCCTTTGGACCATCAAGGTTGGATGGTCCAAACCTCTGTGCAAGGTTTTCTCCAATGATTCTGTGATTCCGTGACCAGTGCCAGGGCAGGGCTGGCACATCTGTCCCCTTGCACGGCAGCTGTGCCACAAGGCTGGCAGGGATACCCTCCAGGAACGTCCTCCAGGGATATCCTCTAGGGATGCCCTCCAGGGATACTCTCCAGGGATGCCCTCCAGGCTGGTACATCACCCCTGCACTCAGGTGGGTACCATCCCCCTGGCCCAGGGATGCTGTGTGTCAGACCGCTGGGAATGACCCTGAGCACATCTCCGAGCGGAAAACATGGATCCCCTGGAGTTTTAGCCAAAACAAAGCACGTCTCCCCATCCTCCCTTCCCAAAACACCACTGCTCTTACCTGCAGGCTCTCAGCACACAAGCTGGGGTGAATATTTGGGCTCTGTCCTTCCTGCACGTGGGAAGGACGGGGTGGGAAATGCCTTTTCCACCATCCAGCCGAGCATCCAGAAGAGATTTAACTGCATGTGAGAGCTTCTGGGAATTTGCACTCATTTCAGGATTCAGTAAAACCTTAATCTACAGCATAATCTCTGAGCGTCACATCTGTGCAAGGGACAGAGGAATGGGGGGAGCTGCTGGCAGGGGCTTTGTCCCAGCAAAGGCTGCTGGAGAGGCCATTGCCAGGAGGCTGGTGGTTTGCTTGGGGGGATGGAGGGGTCTGAAGACCCCCAGAAACATGAGGAGCTGCTCAGTGCATGGGGGATCTCTCCTTCCAGGCCTGCCACCATCTCCCAGCTGTGGGAAGAAAGGACCTTGGCGGCAGCAGCAGTCACCCCTTGATGCACTGAGTGCTGTGAAGGAGCAGCTCTGTTGCCCTCAGATGAAGCTCTGTGGCTTTTGGGGGGCTGTGGGAGGGGGTTGGACCAGCCCCTAGAGCAGAAGACACAATCCTGTGGCTTGCATCCTGAACACCCACATGGACCCTCCAAGACAGGCAACCTTTCCCAGGTGGGGACACTACAACCCTTCTCCTCCCCCAGACACCCATTTAAATCAAATTATTCCCTCTGGAGTTCAAACTATGGACAGGCAGGACCTGCATAGACCAGCATGTCACAAGGCTGGGGCCAAGAAATGGCCTGAACCCCTCGGGCTGGATGGGGGTCAGAACTGGCCCAATTTTCCAGTTCCTCCCCTTCTCAAGGAGCTGGGGAAGGGGTAAGTCAAAGCTGTGTGTCCTGTGGGAAGGGATGCTGCTGCTACCTGGAGAACTGCATCCCAAAGGTGGCACATCCCCGTGCCAGACAGGCTGGAGCTGCACAGGGAGGCACAGGGTACAGGGCAGATCCAGCTGCTGAGTTACCCTGGCCCCACAAGGAGCAATTATTCCAAAATCCCTCATGGAGGTACTAAGAAATCCCTCCTCAGGTGGGGGGGAGCACCAGCTCCTCCTGCAGCTCTTATCCCACACAGCCCTCACAGCTGATGCGGGGTGGATTGGAGCTGGGGGCACATCCTACCACAAACAAAGCATCTCCCCAAAAACCCAGGCACCCTAAGGAAGCTCCTGAGGCCCAAAGCAGGGCTGTGACTCCGCTGTCCCCCACCAGAGGAGCCGAATCCCCCACCAAAGCCATGGCGAGGTTTCCTTTGCCGCCTGAGCGATGTCTCACATCCTCCCCGACCATAATGGGCTGAAAAACACAGTTCCCCTGTGGATTCAGCCCGTTTCCTTCTATTCTTTAACAGGAAGCTCTGTGAGAGTCAGCCCAGGCAGGCAAATCCTCGCCCTGCGCTCCTTCCCGGCATGGCCAGAGCCTCGGCGGGGCTCCGGAGCCGCAGCCGCCGCGGAGATGCTGCTCCCGTCCATCCCTCTGCTCCTCTGGCTCTTCCTGCTGCTCCCAGGTGAGCTGCTCCACACTCCAGGGAGCGGGAGGTGGTGCTGGATGGGGGGATCTGGGGAGCTGGGCTTCCCAAGGGGAACCAGCCAGAGCTTTGGAGCTGCCGTTGGAAAGCTCGGCCACTCAATGCCGGGGTGGAAGGAGGCAGGTTGTTGGGAAAAATGCAGCCATGCCAGGTTTGCAGGGTTTGCTTGGTGCTGCTGGAAAATAAGAACTTGTTTCCTGGTTAACCAAAGGAGTGTTTGGGCTGAGGCATCTGTAGTAAGTGCCTTTTGTCAAATAGGAGTAAATGTGGAACATTTAAATGTACGGGACATTATTTTCCTCAAAAATATTTTTTCCTTGACTATTCTCCATTTTTCCTCTCATTGATATAAATACAAACCCCATGTGCAAGAACATGCTATCATAACTCTGCTCCTTTGGGGTAATTCTGCTCTGACTTCTCTTTCCCATGTGAGTCGAGGTGTGGGATGAAGGAGGTGGTTTCCTGCTCCAAAGGGTGACAGGTTGTTTTTTCCTGCATCCTCAGACACCTCTTGCACTGCTGACAGCTGTAGTAGCTGGAAGCTGGAATACATTCAAAGGAATATGAAATAATGTGTCTCCAACTCAAAGGTTTTATCATTAAACCATAGAAGTTGCCCCGGGTTACAGCCACTGTGCTGGTGATAATGGGATGTTTTAAAAGGCAGAGGATCAGGGAATGGTTTGTGTTGGAGGGGGCCTTAAAGGTCTTCTCATTCCATAGAATATAGAAACCAATTCCAAGAAGTAAGAAAATGTCTCTCTTCATTAGAGGGCAATGCTGGCTCCAGCACCAGGGGGATGTGTGCCTGGGATCAGCCTCAGAGATCAGATCAAGGGGCTTTGAGGCCCCTTGGCCATCCTGTGGCTTTCCCTAATGCCCACCTAGAATGCTCTTTTCCTCTTAAAACCGTTTGGTAGGGTTTTTATGGGACATGGAGGGCAGGAAAGTGTCAGGCCCCCTCTCTGGCTTGGCTGCCCCATGCCAACATCCAGCCCCTGCACGGAGCAGGACTCCCAGGAGCACTGCCCAAAGAGCCACCCTCCAGGTGGACCTGGCTGCTGCAGCATCAGGTGGACGGGATGTCACCCTCCATCCTTTAGTCCTGAGGGCATCACTTGGTCCTCTCGAAGCAGGCTGCCCAAAATCAGGGGGCAGAGACCGTCCCGTCGATGGTCAGGGCACTGCTGGACATCGTCACCTCTCCAGCCCCCCTCAAACCCACCCCCTGTCATGTGTCCTGCCTCCCTTTTCTATGCTGATCCAACACCTCTGAAATGGCTTTTTTTTATTAAATCAGTGATTTTACAGCAAGTCCCCGAGGTGCTGCAGTACCAGGGGGGAAGCTTCAGCACAAGGCAGAGCAGCAGCTCAGCGAGAGGGGCAGTTGGGTCTGTGGTGCTGCTGGTTCCCCAGCACACAGGCACCTGGAAAAGGGAATTAGGGGCTCTGGAACAAGATAGAAGAGCTGAGAGGTCTCCCTGCACCTGGGGAGACGGAGGTCACCCTGAGGAGAGACACAGTTATCTTTAGCTGGACACTGCCTTTCGCCACACAGGCCTTTCTTGCTTTTACTTTATGCAGGTTCAGTATTTTATTAATTTATCATTTCCTAAATTAAGCTTCTAAGCTCTCATGGTTATTCCTAAAGGGAGGTTAAGATACTGTTATTTTGAAATAGCTGAAGTGGGAAGCATTGGAACATTTCCAACTTGTTTTTCCTCCCCCCAGAAACCCTTAGCAGAATATTTGTCCAAACAAACCTCTTCCTATGGACCGTTTCCATTACAATGGGCAGGCAGTTTCCAGACAAAAGATTTCCACTGAAAAATTCCTCCTCAAAGCTGTTGAAAACCCAGCAGGATTTTCCCACTCTTGTTCCATCCACTGCTCTCCTTATCTGTGCCACAGCCTGTGGGTGGATAATGCCATGAGAAATGAGGTGTATCCAACCCAGACGTATATTGGGATATATTTTTGATATGATCAAGAAGACGGGGTGCAGCTAAAGGACAGGCATCCAGATTCCAGATACATCCTTAAACCAGGCCATCCAGTGCATCCTAAAGCCAATTCCTTGGCCAAAGGAGGGGCCAGCCCAACCCTGTCGTGGTGGTGAACAAGGAAGAGAAAGCAGGAGGTGGTTCGGGGAAATGTTTGTTCACACAACAAACTGCTCCCTTCGAGTAACACGAACCCCCTCCGATGACTCTGCAAATCTCACCAGAGCAGCTTCCAGGAATTATGTCCCATTTACAATAGGTGAGTCAACAGCAGGTGTCCTTGGAGGAGATGGTGCTGGAAACCCAAAGCTCCAGCTGGAAAAGCCAAGCTGGGCAGGGGAGAGCTGTGGGTTGTGTAAAGGCCTCAGCTGGGAGCTCTCATGGCTCCACTTCCCAGAGGAGCCCCCTTGGAATGACCCAACCTCCCATCTGAGTCCAGAGGAGGCACCAAGAGGATCAGAGGGATGGAGCAGCTCTGCTGGGAGGAAAGGCTGGGAGAGTTGGGATTGTTCAGCCTGGAAAAGAGAAGCTTTGGGATGACCTGACTGTGGCCTTCCAGTACCCAAGGAACCAACAGGAAAGATGGAGAGAGACTATGGACAAGGGCCTGGAGTGACAGGACAAGGGGGAATGGCTTCCCACTGCCAGAGGGCAGGGTTAGATGGGATATTGGGAAGAAATTGTTCCCTGTGAGGGTGGGAAGGCCCTGGCCCAGGTTGCCCAGAGAAGCTGTGGCTGCCCCTGGATCCCTGGAAGTGTCCAAGGCCAGGTTGGACAGGGCTTGGAGCAACCTGGGTTAGTGGAAGGTGTCCCTGCCCATGGCAGGGGTGGGACTGGATGATCTTTCAGGTCCCTTCCAACCCAACCATCCCATGATTTGGGCTTTGCTGCAGACTTATGTGGAGCTGTTTTGGCAGCACTGGGGGTCCATGGAGGTGTGGAGTGTGTCCATTTACATCCCAGAGTAACCCAGGCAACCTCTTCTGGCACTGGGGACAGCCATCACTGGTCTGGACAGGAGAAGAGATGCAAGGTGGGTGTCCCCTACATTTCCCACCATCGTCAGGCACAACTGCAGGCTCATCACACTCCTGAGGGCAGCGCAGCTCCGAGAGAGCAGCTCCACACATACAATTCAATAAGCTCCTCTTGTACATTAGCTGGAAGTGACTCTGGAGTTGCTAAAAATCTTGGAATCACACTGAAATTAGTGTGGTGAGAAATGTGGGAGAAACATGTCCCAGCTGACGATGCACTGGACGGAGACACAGGAACAGTGGGGTTCGTGTCTGCCACTTCTCACAGCCATGCAACACTCCCTGCCTTGTTTTCCCCAGGTATGAAATAGGGATAATAAAATTACCTGTTCCATAAATCAGAGAATTACAGGATGTTCTGAATGGGAAGGAACCTTACAGAACCACAGAATCCCAGAACAGTTTGGGTTGGAAGAGACCTGAAAGATCATCCAGTTCCACCCCTGCCATGGGCAGGGACAACTTCCACCAGCCCAGGGTGCTCCAAGCCCCGTCCAACCTGGCCTTGGACACTTCCAGGGATCCAGGGGCAGCCACAGTTTCTCTGGGCAACCTGTGCCAGGGCCTCACCACCCTCACAGGGAAGGATTTCTTCCCAGTATCCCATCTAACTCTGTCCTCTGGCAGTTTGAAGGCACTCCCCTCTGTCCTGTCCCTGCTTTCCTTGTCCCCAGTCCCTCTCCAGCTCTCCTGGAGCCCCTTTAGGCCCTGGAAGGGGCTCTCAGATCTCCCCAGAGCCTTCTCTTCTTCAGGTGAACCCCCCCAGCTCTCTCAGCCTGGCTCCAGAGCAGAGGGGCTCCAGAGCATCTCCGTGGCATCCTCTGGACTCTCTCCAGCAGCTCCACGTCCTTCTTATGCTGTTCCCCAGAGCTGGAGGCAGCTCTGCAGGTGGGGTCTCACCTGAGCAGAGTAGAGGGGCAGAATTCCCCCCCTGCACTGCTGCCCACTCCTCTTTGGATGCATAAAGTGCTTTGAAATCTGGGAGTAAAACCCGGGCGATCTCACCAGGTCATTCACCTAAAATCTGGGCTCACATGAAGGTTGTCAGGCCAAGATGCTTCACCTGCTCTGGAGCTGCTGCTCCTGTGAGACTCAGCACCTGGGGCAGCAGCTGCACGGTGCCTTCCCAGCCCTGGAACAACTGCTTCCAGGCAGGGACATCCTTCTGCTCCCCTGAAGCTCAAACCAGGACACTAAAGAAAAGCAGGTGGAAAGAACAGGAGTTACAGAAATCCCTTTCCAACCAGCCCCTTGCACACCTTGTGTCCTGAACCAGTCCCAGGAGACCACGCTCCTGCATGGTGGTTCTAAACACCACACAGCAACACTCCAATAAACCTGGGGAGTCTTGGAATTCCTGGAAAGAACGATCAGTTTGGGAAGAAACTTGGAAAGTCTCCTCTGTAAAGTGCTTTGAGCTCTGCTAATGAATAATTTTATTTTTAAAAGCTGTAGGAAGGCACAAAGCACAGGCCAGGCTCCAGGTCCCAGCCAGCCAGGATAGGTGGTTCCCCCATTTTCCATTTGCAGTGGGCATGGAGTGATTTCCCCTCCAAAATCTCGGCCCCGGTGCCAAGCCCAAGGAGCAGCACAACCAGGAGAAGGGCAGCAGTACAAACACCAGGAGCAGACACAGAGCTGTAACACAAGCAGGTCACAGAGGAAACTGGAACCAGTGCACAGCTGGGAGGGTGGCAGTGCAGCAGCCCTGGGGAGCAGGTGTCTGTTCCCCAGACACCACAGAGCAGTGGGGGTGCAGCCAGGAGAAAAGCCATATTCCTTTTTGCTTCCAGGAGCAACCACCTTACATGATAAAACCAGCCCTTGGCACCTCGTTGATGAGGCAGATCCTGCTCCGTGCTCGTGGTTTCCCCACATTGTTTGTCTCCCGGGTTGTTTTCTACATCCAAGTGGTTTTTAATTGCCTTCCACTAAG